CTCTCAATCCAACCAAACCCGCCCAAGTTACATCCCTAATTCATTCTAATAGTTGTGTAACACCATTTTCTGGTGTAAAGTTAGAAATTCAACTCTTATAAAGAGATGTTTGAGGAAACCGCCACCCTAAAATTTGAAAATTTTCCCTTATTATAATAATATTTTTATAATTAATTTTTATTCAAAAATTAATTCCCACTCCTTAAAAAAGTATTAGTGGCATTGTAGTCCTTGCCATACATTTTGTTTAAAATTACTTAAAATTTGCCCACCTATCCATATCAACCATAATAACTGAGGGGTTGTTTGGAATGCTTTAAATAAATGTACTTTTTGTCTTTTTAAACTAAAAAGTTGAAGAAAAAAATATGAATGTTTGGGTTAAGTTTTTGACTTTTTATGAAAAAAATGTGTATTAAAAAATTGTATAAATGAAGTGGGTGGGAGAAGATAGTGTAGTAGGCGTATGGAATGGCAGTGCATCGGTGGGGTGAATACATGAGAAAATATTACCTCCTTTTTGGACTTTTATTGGAAGGTGTTGTTCGGCCCGTAGGGGCCACCACTAGTCTTGTTTTTCTAATCGGAACCGTTCAATGTGTAGAACTCGTCGAGTACTATATATTTATAAAAAATCACGTTGATTGGATATCGATAGCTATATGATCGTGTAATTTTTTTTTGTTAGCTGTTAACTATAACACTTTTTGACATTTTTAATACAAAATTGATTTGATCATGTAGTTAGCGATATTCGATAGACGTGATTTTTTACAGACATATAGTACTAGACGAGTTCTACATATTTAACGGTTCAGATTATCAAAACGGGACCCATGATAAACCCCCAAGGGCCCAACTTCACCATTTAAGTTAATGAATGTAAACACGTTATTTTTTTTCCTTTACCTGCGGTGGAGTTTGACACCAGTACGGTTGACGGGCAATGATTTTTTTGGAATAGGTATATTTGTATATTAATTTTTTTTTATATATTTTTTAGTGAATAGTAATAACTTTTTTATTTTTTTGGTAACTTTTTGACTTTTTAATTTTTTTTTAACTTGCCAAACTTGGTCTAAGTTTAAGTTTCGCCATTGCACAATATGCCTTACACATCCACTATTCTTCAGTTGAAAACAAGCTTCTGTGTATAATAAAAACCAAAAACAAATCAAACAAATAAAATAATTTACTTACGTATTTCATTTATTGAAAGCAGATTAACAAAGTTGATGATCAAGTCGAGTGTGTGACATAGCGTCTATCTCGCAAGATACAATGATTTTTGTAATATTAAAGCAGCATTATACTCAATTCTACACAAGAAAACCTATATTCTATAACTCTCTTATATCTCTCTAGGACTAAGCGGCGCGTGTAGTGTTAAGTTAAAAGTATGCTTGGTTAATAACTCTTCATTCATAAAACTTGGGTGGGCCCACTCAAGTGTGTCAACTTAGAGATCATATACACGTACAAACTCTCACCTTGTTCCACCGCAGGACAACACAATTAAAACAATTCACATTGTCTCTTTAACTTCTAACTTCACAAAATTAAAAATGACATCAACTTTTCATTTACTGTTAAATGGTTTTGACGAATCGAGCTACCAATCAACAAAGAATTTGTCATCACTCGAACCCATCTCAATAGACGTGTGGATTCCGCTTGAATTTGGGCTCAAAATTAATCCAAAATAAATCTATAAAAACCAAATTTCCAACATCTGCTGTCAAACATTAGTCTGGTCGAGGCATGCAAGAGCCACGAAATGAAGGGTTTCTTTAATGCATCTTTTTTTCATTTGTAATCAAATAACAAAAACTAGAAATACTTTTTTTTTTTTTTTAAACTTTTGGATAATCAATTTTTTTAACTTATTTAAACTATTTCTACATCATAACTATAAACATAAATTATACCAAACACTGGCCCAGTGATTTTCAAAATATAAAAAAGAATAAAAACAAATGTTGGCCTATGTTGGGCAAATCACAAATTAGTGTAAAAAACTGATTGCAGAAAGACCAAAACCACAGCCACCAAAGTCGGCTCTGCTTGGACTAGCACTAGTTTGGTGGCTTTATATACATGTTCAGTGGAGGATACAATTAACCTCCACAACCCTCCCAACAAAATTCCAACAACCAAGTATTTTTGAGCTCTCTTTTTTACTCCTTTGTCTCTTCTCTTATTCCATGTTGATGTTGATGTTGATGTTGATTTCCCCAAGTCATTGCCAAAAGTCAAGAACTACCACTTTGGGATATCACTCTTTTTATGCCGTGTTTAATTAAGAGATTTGAAAAGAAATTTAGAAAGAGAAATAAAAAAGATAGATAAAATATAAATAAAATATATCTATATTTCACCTAATTTCATATACCTTTTCATTTTTCCTTTCTAAATCACTTCTCAAATTTCCCAATCAAACCCTGCATTATTAATGAGCGAACCACATAACTTCTTCCACAATTTGCCAACCACAAAAATATATTATTACTATTGTGTATTGATCTAGCCCACGAATCCCTCTTTCCATTAGGCTGCATTTGGTTGTTTTCAAAGTCTATTTATTTGGTTTAAAGAAAGTCTTAGATTTCATTTGGGAACATATTATTTTAGTAATTTTTTGATTTTTAGCTAAAATATGAGTTAAAAAAAACTAGTACGCTTGGAGTGACTTTTTGACTTTTTACGAAAAAATGTGCAAAAAGTAGAGAAAAAAAATCTTTGACTTTTTGTTCTATGTTATAGGCTTTTTGATTTTTTTAACAACTTTTTGACTTTTAAGCTAAAACAACTACTTGTTGGCTTTTAGTAAGTTTGTTTAAATTTAGTTATTTTAAAAAGTCGTTAACAAATTTATAAAGTTGTAAATTTGCGAAATAAACTAGTTTTTTTTATAGGTTTATTTTAGATTTTCAACTAATTTTCAAAAAAATTCTAAGTTTTGTTTCACTGCGCCTTTAAAGCCAGTTTAATGACTAAAAAACTCTTTTTACTAAAACATCTTAACTCATTTAACAAATTCATTCACTACTAAAAAATGTATATTCTGCATAAAAATATAAGTAATAAAAATATATTTATAAACTTTGTAAGACGTTCTAAATCAAGAGGGCACACAGCAAACAAGCTCTTTTTTTTTATTTTATATATGTATTATAGAATATGGATAAAGAGGATATTTGTTGTTAAGGTTTTTTGTTCCACATCCACACTCAATTTAAACACTTAAATACTCTAATTTATATGATATTTGAAGAAAAAATACCCACTTTCGCTAGTAAAGGAATCTTTCTTGCTTCTCATCATAGGAATAGAATGGATGATACAAATTTCAAATTTTTCCTAAATCACATTTAATTTCAAATAAATTTCTAAACAATTTCAAAACCTTATCTAAGATTATAATACAATATGTGATACATATGTACTTAAAGCATGTCTCCATACCCATACTTAATTTTAGGATGCCTATTCTAATATTAATATTCAATATCCTAGTAAAATAAAAAAAAACTCCATATCAAAAACCTTAACAGCAAATATCTCCTCTTTATCCAAAACCTATAGAAAAAATAAAAAATTTGTTTGGCGTGTGCCCTTAGAACGTCTTATAAGTCTTATATATTTCTATGCAGAATATACAATTTTTTAAAAATATATTAATATGTGCGCCAAGCACATTAGATGATGGGCCAAGCACAGCTTGGTATGCCTGCAAGGGCCAAGCTAGATCACTTACATCAAGACTTGGGCCACTCTATCTATATTTCCTTCTCTTTACTCCTTCCTAGGTCTCGGACTTTAGCAATGGAGGAGTTTTCCAACCAACCAACCCCAGCCATGCAGTTCTCACTGCGTTCTTAAGCCTTGTTTGGTATACACTAAGACATCGTTTGGGAATGCGCTATTTTAGTAACTTTTTAACTAAAACATGAAGTAAAAAAAAATTTGTATGTTTGGAATGATTTTTTAATTTTTTACGAAAAGATGTCCAAAAAGTAGAGAGGAAATGAAATCTTTGACTTTTTGGTATAGGTTATAGCACTACAAAAAGTTAAGGTTTCAGAGACTAAAATTTAGGGACAAAATTATTTTTTAAGGACCAAATATTTTTGTTGCAAAAATTGTTATTATATTTTTAGCAACGAAAATTGAACATTAGTGATGAATTATTATCCTTTTGGGACCAAATTTTTTGTTTAAAAAAATAAATCATTTTGAGACCAAATTATTTTGTCCCTAAGCCTTATTTTTGACTTTTCGGAATGACTTTTTAATAACTATCCTAAATTATTTTGTCCCTAAGCCTTATTTTTGACTTTTCGGAATGACTTTTTAATAACTATCCTCCAGATGATAGAAATTGATCCCTAAATATCTTTTACAACAAAATTTTCGCTTTCAGAGACTAAAAATATTGGTCTCTAAAACTCTTATATGTCGTAATGTAGGCTTTTTAATTTTTTTTAGTAACTTTTTGGTTTTTAGGCTAAAACTATTACTTCCCAAACGAAACCTAAATAAATCTATATTTTTATCTTTTTTAGGTCACATCAATCAACATTTCCTCTCTATTTTTTTTATATATCTTTTTATAAAAATTCAAAAAATACATTTATTTAAGACATTGGATGTCCTAAATAAGTACATTTTTTGACTTTTTTTTATAAAATATGAGTTGGGTTTGAAATGATGTGGTAGAGAGGTGATATGACTTAAATAAGATGATATGATAGTAACTTTTTGACTTATTAAATTTTTTACTTTATACCAAACAAGACTTTAGTCTTATAAGTATCGGCTCCTATATAGCCTAGTTTGGTCACAAAGTTTCTATTCATTCAACATTGTGAAATCCATATATGCACGTTATCAATTATAACAAAATTCGTTGTTAAAACTTAAAATGGATCTAATATATATATATATATATACCCCAGTCCAATTGCACATGCATAAACCATATATAGATTCGTTTCATGTATCCCTTATAAATCATTTAGTATAGCAACAAGAAGGAAGAACAAAGTACAAGAAAATATTTATTTGTGAGCACAAAAATTACAAAGCCATAAAAGTTACATAACAACATAACATGAGGCGATTTCTTGCGACAAAAATCAATTAGGCATCATTAGCCTGTTTGTCAATATCATCAAGAATAACAATAAGCGCAGCGATGAAAGCATAATCATAAATCTATATTTTTATCTTTTTTAGGTCACATCAATCAACATTTCCTCTCTATTTTTTTATATATCTTTTTATAAAAATTCAAAAAATACATTTATTTAAGACATAGTGGTTTTGGATGTCCTAAATAAGTACATTTTTTGACTTTTTTTATGAAATATGAGTTGGATTTGAAGTGATGTGGTAGAGAGGTGATATGACTTAAATAAGATGATATGATAGTAACTTTTTGACTTATTAAATTTTTTACTCTATGCCAAACAAGACTTTAGTCTTATAAGTATCGGCTCCTATATAGCCTAGTTTGGTCACAAAGTTTCTATTCATTCAACATTGTGAAATCCATATATGCACGTTATCAATTATAACAAAATTCGTTGTTAAAACTTAAAATGGATCTAATATATATATATATATATACCCCAGTCCAATTGCACATGCATAAACCATATATAGATTCGTTTCATGTATCCCTTATAAATCATTTAGTATAGCAACAAGAAGGAAGAACAAAGTACAAGAAAATATTTATTTGTGAGCACAAAAATTACAAAGCCATAAAAGTTACATAACAACATAACATGAGGCGATTTCTTGCGACAAAAATCAATTAGGCATCATTAGCCTGTTTGTCAATATCATCAAGAATAACAATAAGCGCAGCGATGAAAGCATAATCAATATGAGGATACACAGTCACCATGAACCTATCCTTCCCAAGCAAGATGCTTCCAGCAGTGTATTTCTTGTGCATCTGCATTGCGACAATCATCAAAGTCAATGAATTTAGTTCTATGCACAGTACAACAAAATTGGCAGATATCTTTTTGTTTTTGTTTACTTTTGAGGAGTATGCCTTACTTGAGCGACAATGGTGGATGATTCGCCAGCGTAAATGACACAGGACCTATTGAACCAGCTTCCCTCAACCTTGAAATCACAAAACTCCTCGGCTGTGTTGTTTGCTAAGTACACGCTTAATTTGGGCTTGAGTTGGAAGACCGAAGATCTTTTAACGCTAAAGATCAGATCCGCAGGGTTTTTGCTCTCCCCCCTAAACACTTGCCATCTGTTATGCATAGTCATCATCTGCATTCACCAAAACATTATTTAAGGTTTTATTCGAAGATGTGCACATCAAGGGGTGAGCATGGTCAGATTGGTTCCATTTAGGATAAAATTAGGATCAATTCATTATTTATGATTCTATAAAAAGCAAATTCATTTAAATCATAGAATCAATTCAAAACAAACCATTTAAATACGGTTCAACTAGGTTTGAAATCACAGCTTCAAATAATTTGTTCACAATAAAAATCATTTAATATTTTTAAAAATTTTCAACTTATCATAAATTGTTTAACATTAACTTGTCCATTATTTTCGGAAACATAACTTAAACAAACATAGTATCTTGTAAATAAACGTATTGTTCAACATGTAGCAAGTATAAAACTTACATCAAACAAACATTTTGTTGTGACAACAACAATACAACACAAAAATTATGCTAAATAATTTTAAAAAACAACAGGAATAGCAGCAACAACAACAATAATAGCAGCAATGTGTATGGTATGTACATAGTTTAATTTATATACGATTTGATTCGGTTCTAATTCAGAACCATGAACTCAAATCTGAAACCGATCCGCGGAGACCGATTTTCTAATTTTTCAAACCAAAACCGAACCACGAATTAAAAAAATCAATCCAAACTTACTGGATTGGAATGGACCGGTTCAGATTGCGAATTTTTCAGATTTCTTGCTCAGCCCTATCAAGAACAATAAATATACATAGAATAACACAAATAATTTGGTATAAATGAATTGAATTTAATTACCTTCTGCTGTAAAGTAACAATAGGATTTCCAGCAGGATCCAGTAAGGTGCATCGATCATGAAGGGCTAATATGCGGCCTTTAACTTTAAACAAAATGTTATCGTTCATATCTGTAATGGTAAAATTACCATCTGTTATGGTCAAGACCTTTCTAACAATGGCAAGATCAACAGGATAAGGAAGGCAATACTGAGGACCTATGACCCAAACAGGATTAGCTATGGGTAAATAATAGCTTGGTTGAGCCATATTGAGAGAGAGAGAGAGAGAGAAGTGAGGTTCTTATAGCCTGCAGATGAATTCAACGATTCCCTGTTGAATGTTTGTACGTATATTTTTGTTGTTCTCATTGTTTGGTGTCCTAATCAATATGATGTAGATCAGGACAATGTTATAGCGTAAACAAATTTATTTAGAATTATTCCGGGACCAAGTCAAAGTAATAAGCCCCGTGTATTACACAAGAACATGAAAGAATGAAAATTCAAAGTCATTTTGGTTGTTCTGTTACTCGCTTAATCCAGATCAAACTGGATATGCTTCAGCATAAAAAGGGTCGAATTTTTGATGATTGGTCTCAAATTTGACCATTTTGGCCCTGTTCGTAGAGAGAAGAAGAAATAAACAAGTTCCAACTCGCACAATTCTGAGTAAAATGACAAAGAATACTTCCATTAGGCTTCAACAAAAAGATATGCCAAAGTCCTAAAACAATCTGACTGATAAATTAAGCCCCCTAAAGTGCATTTATTACTGGATGTATTCTAATTAAGTCTTTAATTCTTTATTTCTAACCAAATCAAGTTGAGGAAATGAAGTTTAGAAAGTCAAAAGAGCAAACAAATTTCCCTTTTTATGCTCGAGCACAGACGTGACATGCTCGAGCACAACTTATCCCGAATTTTATTATTTTTAGGGTTGTTTTTAGCATATATAAAAGAGAAAATGTTTGAGACCCTCATAAATTTTCCACAATTCAACCTACAATGATGTAATCTGACAAGTATCGGTTTTTAATTGGTTAAACACTTAATGATATGAGATTTACCACCCTTGTCACATCATTGTGGATATATTTGTGTGGGAACAAAATATGAATCTCTAACATTATATAAAAGGGAGGCTAGTAACTTCTTTTGAAGGGGAGATTTGGGGCCTCAAGTATTGAGGATGCACAAGAGAGAAGAAAGAAAAGGAGATCCAAAGAGCTTTTCATTGAGATTCAACCGAAGTTTTGGATTTCTCCACCGTGAGTGGATAGACTCTCCATCTTAGGATTTGATCAAACCTTAATAAAGTAATTAGGATTTTTGTATTTTCTTCGTGGATTTGATTTATTATGATAATAATTGTATAACATTTATAGATTTTCGTTCCAATCAAGTTCTTTATTCAAATTCATATGTATTTAATTTATGTGATTTTAGATATATAGTTATACAATGGATTTCTCTGTGTATATTGAAATCGTCGGATGAGTCATACTTATGGAAGACAAGGCATACCTATGACCTTAACCGATGATGATTCATGCTCGTGATTTGAATGTATGAATATTCTTGACGATGTTATTAGAGTTTTTAGCCACAATACATCATTATCATCATAATAGTAGTTTTTATGAAGTGAATCAATAAACTCTAGTTAGGAGATTAGTGGTGAATTCAATACGCTTAAAATTATCAATTTCAATATCAATTCAGTTTTATATTGCTTTAGTTTACTTTTAGTTTTTAATTAATTTAGTTATCATCATATCAGCAATCTTTATTGAATTAATTTAGGATTTGATCTAAAAATAATTCTTAATCGCTATTCTAAGGAGTGGTAATTCCTACTTGATTTTAGAGGAAATATTATTGTACCCCAAACTATTATGCCAAAATCAATTTGGCACCCAGACTTTGTCTTATTTTAATTTGACACCTAAATCTTTTAAAATTTGATCAATTTACCCCTAGTCTTATTTCATCTACAATCAAATGGAATGTGCTGATGTGATACCAAACTTCATTTGAAATTTCATTTTACCTCTCAAACTATACCTTAAAAATCAATTAGCCTCCAAATATTTAAAAAATAAATAAATTTAAATATTTAATTAATAATTTTTATTTCAAAATGAAAATTTAAATTTTAAATAATATACTTTGCAAAAAAATAATTAAAAAATATAAAAATTCACATTTAGAATTTCTGTTTAAGTCTCAAATTATCTCAAGTCGATCATGGAGAAACTAATTGAGTTGAAAATTTCTTGGCTATTCTATGGATATGCGCTCGTGCAATTGTAACTAGTTTATTGTCACGTCCCCATTTTCAAAGATTAATTAGATGGAAACTAATTAACCCAAGCGTGAGATTTTTTTAAAGAAATCTCATTTTCATTCATTTTATTATCAAAAACCTTTTTATTAACCATTTTCTTTAATTTTCACAAGTCAAGACAAGAAAAAAAATCATTGAAACAAATCATAAACCAACTCTCCACGTATTATATTAAATGTAACATATTCTTTACAAACAAAATACCCAAAGGTTTACAATAAAAGAGAAGGTCCATTTACAAGAATGACACTAAGCATGAGAAACCAATAAAGGCTCTATGGCACATCATCACCTTATAACTATGAAATGGCAAAACCAACTGTTTAATCCTCAAGTTAAAAAATATTCTATGTATACATGTACAAGTAGAGGGTGAACAAATCAGTAGCTCACCAAGCAATCTCATATTATAACATTAAAAGACATGCGGTATAGTAATACCATACATATACATAAAATCATCTCATATTACGATTTTATTACTTAATCACTTAAATCAAATTTATTTAATTAACTCCAACTAGTTAACTTAAATGAATTCACAAGTTACAACCACTACAAGAAATCGCACCTTTGGCGACCATTTTTGGTGACTAAAATTTAAATTTGTCAGCGTTGGTTCAAGATATCACTACAAAAATATTTTAGTCAATAAATATTATTTCTTTGCGGCTAAATTTAAATTCAGTCAGTAAAAAATCCACTTTCAGCGACTAAAAAGGATATCGGTCGCTGTTAGTCCACATTTTAGGCCCAAAAAAATCAAATTAATTAGCAATATTGGTTTTTCCCGGCTGAAATTAAAATTATTCGCCAAATAGGACTTTTGGCGACTAATATTTTCGTCCCTGTTCAGTCATCGTTTAGCTACAAAAAAAATTTAGTCAGCATATCTATTCCTTTGTCAACAAATAGAGCAATTAGTCGCTAAAGGTTCAATTTTCAACCCGCCAATTCCTTTATTTCCGCGTGTGCCCCTCTCTCTGTTATACAACACAACTTCACACTTTGTAACACACACACCATCCTTCACCAAACCTCACAAAAAGCATCCCCCTCACCGTAGCTTACTGTACAGTTAACATTACGATGGTTACCGTCCCCCGCACAAATCACCACCGTTATAACTCACCACCGTCATGGCCGCACATCGCAGGCCCTCTCTCTCTCTCTCTCTCTCTCTCTCCCTCTCTCACACTCTCGCTTTCGCTCATGGTCTGTTCGTGCGTCTCTTTCTCTGTCACTTGAGCTCTCTTACACAGTCTCTCTCGGTCTCTCTCTTTCTCTGTCTCTCTTTCTTTTTTACTCTGCTTCCCCCTCTTCTGACATTGTTGGTTTAGGGTTTATTCAAATTTGAATGTATGTGTCTCTAATTTATTAAAAACTAGTGTATGCCCATGCCTAAAGGCACGGTGTAAATAATATTTTGTTTGGATAATTTTCATATGTCATTCTCTCTTAAGCTAGGAATATTGAGAATCAAGTATACCTAATCTGTTTTCCCATGACATACAAAAAATGAATAGATAACATATATTTGAGCAAGGGGATCTCCTTTATTATAAACACAACTTCAAATAAAAGGAACAACAAAATGGTGTTCTCCCTTTGGAGCACACCATGCCAATACGAAAATAGTATTATTGATCCAAATCTAAATAACAAACACCTTCAAATGTTTACCTCTCAAACCAAACCAAATTTATATATAAGTTCACACAACGTTAATCTGCCATAATCTTTAACTTTATACAACGTCAATCATTTTCAAAGTTTGTCAACGATAAAACAAAAAATAGTGTAAATTCTGCCCGTCTGAATTGTTGCTCACTCAAGATTGCCCCTCTTTCAACACTCATCAATCAAAGAAGTGCACGTTTAGTTTACACAATAATAAATACAAAATTATTAGAGAGATAAGAAAAAATTAAGCCTGAAAAAATGTAGACCTGTAAAAAGAGAGTCAATATTACCATTCGCTTGTAGTCTTCATCCACCTGTAAAATACAGGAAAAAAAAAAAAGCCAATATGATAATTAAAATAGACTACCCAATTTAAAACAAACACATGCATTGTCACACAAATGAAATGTTTTTTTATAACCACCAATTCAAACCAAACACAAACATTGTTGCAAAATAATAATTGGTTACCCAATGGAAACACTACAAACAAACAAAACACACTATCAACACAGATACAAATTAATGATTGATAAAAATATTAATTTATAAAAATCAGTCAATATTTTCTTTGGATTTTATTTTTTTCAACTCTTTCTTTTTGAAACTTCATTTAATTGATCACATAAGGTTATAAGGAAAATTTAAAAAAGACGTGTTCTTAAGAAAGAATTTAATAAAATAAAATTCAGAAAGCAAACTCTTTGCTTGGTAATTCAACAACAAACTCTGACTGACTTAATTCTCCCATCATTTACAAATCAATACAGCTTAAAAAACCCCCATTTATTTTCTTCCAAAAACCCAAAGCCATTTATTATATCACTTTAGTCCCATCAATTTTGTGTATGTAACCCTCCATCATCTTCTTCAATGTTCACCTACACCCATTCAGATTCATTTTGCTTCCAACCTCAAATAAATTTTCAATATTTGTTACGCAATACATGACCATAAGCAAAAAATCAAACCACGCCCTTTGGATCTATTTGATTAGCTCATGGGCAACAGCCAACAAAATTTAGATTGAAATTAAATAAACTATAGAACTAAACTGATATAATAAAATTCAATAGATAAAATAACAAATCAACAGCATATAGTAGGGGGACAATTGTTTATAGGGTCTTAAAAAAGTAATAGGCAATGCTGAAACTACATATATATATATATTTTATCACAACTTACCAATCCCCACTCCCAAATAAAGGGGGGAAAAAAATAGAAAAACACAAAAAGCCCAATAAATATAGGAAAATTCATATCAGTATTTAAAGAGTATTTAGCAAACTCAGAAGTATTTATAGATCTGTATATATTTATGAGTATTTAGCAAATAATCGAAAAACTCATAATATAGAAAAACCCATTTTATAAATAAAAAAATTAACACCCATTTCTCATTAAAGAATCAAACATTTCATTAATTGTGTGTGTGTTCAGTCGGCCTCAGTCACAACATTTAAAAAAGAAAAAAGAAAAAAAAAAGTGTCAATAAGATTACTTGCCTACAATTCTTAACTAATGTCCAATTCCTTGCCTTTTCATGAATTCTCTCAATAAGTCATCCTCTCTCTCTGAGGCCAAAACTATTCTTCTCTCATTGAACCGGTTTCTACTCATCATTTCCCAAAACAACCTGGCATGCAGAACTGGAATTAGAGGTCAACAATACTTAGATGATTGTTTAAACACCTATTGGCATAATGTTGTTTTAAATTAGGGTTCTATTCCTAATAGAAAATTGACTATATGGTTAGGAATTATGTGATATAATATTGAATTTGGTTTCTAAACATGTCTATTGTAAGCAAAAGGAGTTTGTTCTAGCTTGAATGAAACAAAACTATGATATTTGTTCATACTGTGTGATCTCAAAAATACTGTACACATACCTTATTTGTTTGTCAGAAATCAAAATTATATTTATGGGAATGGCTGTGAAATTATAAGTTTATTTATTTTTGAGTTGAACAGAAAGGTCTGGAACCATTATTCTGATATTGCTTTCTTGGTTGGAGAATATTGTGGCCAAAATTGCCCCCATTGATGTTACAGGGGTCTGTGTTGTTATTAGACCAAAATGGGGGCAATCCCTTTGGATGACTTTTTATTCTTGTTATTTTTTATTTTTTGTTATTATTAGACCTGCATGTTCACACTAAACTAAACACCAAGACCTTTACAATTGCACCAAGCAAAAAGTAATCAAATCAAGCACAAATACTTGCAACATAAACTGATAAGTTTTCCACGTTGCTTATATTTGTTTCTAACTTTCAGCATGATCATAAACGATTATTAGCATACAGATATTTATTAAATTTTATGTTTATATCAACCTACATGAATCCATACATTGCCTGTGACGGGATATAGGAAAATCAGGGGTTATATTTTAAAATTTTTCCACTAATATCCAAAGGAAAAAAAAAATGGAATGAGAATCTTTGGCCTTACCAATGTTGATCCTCTTATTCCAGTTGCAGCGTGTGAGAGCATAGCAAATGGTGTCACCTGTTGACGAAATGTTGAAGAAGACAATGAAAATAAAGTTCTTGGCAATTGAAACATAAGAACTATCAATGATATTCATGAGATTCCTTAATTTGGGTAAATTCTCAAAGACTTTGAACACATCCATATTATCTTCTCTCTTTTTAAATGAAAGACAGAAAAGGTAAAGAAAAGATAAATAAAAACAACATCGTAATGATTAACCATGACAAATTATGCACATTTTCTTACATGTGTATAAAAAATTTAAGACTTTCAAGTCAAACAAAATTGTAATGTTTAACCATGACAAATTATGCACATTTTCTTACATGCGTATAAAAAAGTTAAGACTTTCAAGTCAAACAAAATTGTAAGCACTCTTAGCATATATCTACTAAAGCTATGCAAATGGTGCAATGTGGTAACACGCCATAACAATACTGCCTTTCAAGTGTTTAAATTTAACAGTTTCTATAAGATATTAGGAAGAAAGTTGGGTTGTTTACAAAAGTATCAAATTAAATAAAAAAATAAAGGTGAGGCCAATGCTTTCAATCAGCTAAACAGTCTTAACATGTAGATAAAGAAACATATTCATGTGTTTTCATATTTATGTATGGTAATGTCCATGCACTACATATTGAAAAAATGGTAATGTCTTTGCACCGTCTATTTTCTATACTTTTTAAAGGATTTACTTTCTCAATGTTTTGATCTCTTGATGAGCCCTTCCATCTTTATGCCAGTTTCCATGCAACTTTTGATCTAGGATCAAACTCTTCTTTTGTTCAACCAGTTGACCATGCAGGAATTTCGACACTAATTTCAGCACCACTTCTCACAATGATCTATAGTTTGGGAAACATGAATTGCTAACAACTTGAACGTTAAGAAGCACCACCAAAGTTCAGGCTTCAGGCGCAAGCCCACAAAGTGTTCAAGCCATGCAAGGAGATTAGTGGGACTGGACTTCATCATGTTCCACCGACATGTAATGGGAATAAGGTAAATCTTTATACGGAATTGCAATTACTAAAGTAGATTATTCGAGGGATCCTTAAATATGCCATATCAGAAGCAAATGATTACAGCAAGAGAGGAGAGATCAATTATACATACCAGTTTTTGTATGATAGATAACAACTATCACAATCAAAATCCTCACCTGTAAGTGAACTGAATTTTATATTTCATGAAGCTCCTTTCCAAAATGCACTTGCAAGTAATGGAAAAATAAATAAATAAAATTAAAAATAAAATAAAATAAAAAATGAAATAAAAGGACATGAATGATTATAGCAAGAGAGGAGCGATCAACTATACATACCAGTTTTTGTATGACAGATAACAACTTTCACAATCAAAGTCTTCACCTGTAAGTGAATTGAATTTTATATTTCATGAAGCTCCTTTCTAAAATGTACTTGCAAATAATGGAAACATAAATAAAATTTAAAATTAAATGATATAAAATAAAATAAAAAATGAAATAAAAGGACATTGTTAAGTGATGGTCCCAAATTCTACTTAATCGAGTGTGCTACTGAATATAGATCTATGTCAAGACCCATGCCTGACAACACAAAAAAGTGAAACAAATACATATTAGTTTAAGGTTTAGAAACACCAATCCATATAAATTGAAAGCTACATAAATAAAAAATGAAAAAGAAACATAACAAAGAGAAGATTGTGAAGATCATCAAACCTGCGAGAGCTTCGAAGCAGAATTCAAAAACTCAGAACTAAAACCATTGCTAACTGAAAGAAGTCAGTAATTCCCTCAATTACTCAATTACTCTCCAGAATGTTTAACCAAATATAAAAACCCATCTCACAATTTGAACACATACATACTCTATACTAACTACTAATAAAAAAATTTAGCTTACACAAAATATGTTATTAATCAATCAATAAAAACAAATAATCAAAAAGAGAAACAACCTCGTGAGAAGCTCAAACAAAAAATTTCATCTGTAGGCAACCACCAAACAATAAACCAGAAACAGAAATGATGATAAACAAAAACATCAATTCCACCAACAAACAACAATTTATCCAACTAAAACTTGAAGCATAGAGAAGCATAGAGAGAAAGAGAGAGAGAGAGGGACAGAATTCACAAAAAAAGTTCACGAAAAAAGTAGTAGTTAAAGGTTGTTACGTAGTTATGTGAAGAGATAATTCATCAAACAATTTGTAATCAAAAAAATAATAATATATCAAAACAATTTGAATATATAAAATACATAAAGATGTGATCAAAGCCCAATCTCATACGATTTGTAATCTTCCTCTCTCACTTGGATATGCTTATAGAATTTTTTACTACAATAATACAACTATAATAGTTTTATAATTTAAAACCATCTTGATAGAGTTTAAGTTCAACCATGTCATTATATATGTATTTTATTTTACTTGTATATCATTATTCGAGAAGTAATTGTATTTTGCTATCTTACAAACTTGTTAAAGTGCTGAATACTAATAAATGAAAAAAAAAGCCTTGAAAGAGAAATGACTATTACTAAATCCATATTGATAAAGTGACGTCGATTGCAGTGAATACATACTTTTTAGACATGACAAAGATATTAGAAATTGAATAGAGTAGGACTTATTCAAAACCCCTACCAAGTGATTTGTACCAAATTATGCACCTAGTACCAATGCAATTGAATAGAGTAGGACTTCATACTTCATAGGAGGAAAGAAACCAACCAAACAACTAATAGGGGTTTTGTCCAAAACTCACATGACAAAGATATTAGAAATTCGGATGTGTTTTTTAGGCATAAAGTCCACTTTATGTAGGCCTACTCTTATCCTCTTTCACTGATTTCATTGCCACTTATGGGTTCATTTAATTTGGAAAATTTTGATAAGAAAATAGTCTATTGCTTTGGTTATCAACCTACCTTGAGTTGCTCTTCACTAAAAAACCCAAGATTGTGGCTAAAATTTGGCCAGGTTTTTGCTACACAAATCAATGTTGAATGGAGGAAAATATGGCTGAAGGAGAGATCTACCCTTTGCTAACTACCAAACATGACCTAACTTGTTAACCAATAAAATTGTTAAAATCGGAAATTTATGAAAAAGTTTTGTGAATAAAATTATAAAAACAGATTGAAAATCTTAAGATTTTAGTGATTTTTTTATTATTATCAACAATAGTGGTGTATGTTGAAAATTATTAAAATCATTAAAAATTGATAAATTTAATAAAATCTGTACTAACATGAGCGGTTGTAGAGCACTATATCAAAGTGTCAAATTATTTTTTATTTTTTCTTTTGTGGGTGTGGAAAGTCAAGTTTATACTGTTAAATATAAATAATAGTTTTACCATTGTTGAATAATAGTACTTTTAGTAAATTGATTAATAAAGAATTGAATGGTTGTACCATTGTTGACAAATCTTGGCCTTAAATTTTTCTGAGTCCAAGAATGTTTGACCTTATCACCTTCATTGGCAAAAAAAAAATACAGATCATGCATTTGGATTTCAAATACCTTTTTTTAATTTTTTTATTTATATTTTGGGCAGACATTTTTGACTCATCATGTTTTTGGAACATGTGAAGTGTTTCATTCTTTTGGATTTGGTATCATCTATTTCAAGTTCAAAAGAGAAATTAAAATAGCCTTTAGTATCAATTTTTGGTACATTGTATGTTATCATTATAATTTTTAAAAAAACGAATACAAAAAAAATTCACTAAATACGATACGTATGTGAAATTCACACATGTAGGCTCATATTTTGTCTTATATCGGTGTCTCAAACATATTTTGTGAATTTAAACTTTTTATTTTGAAAAAAAATGATAACTGTAGACGCGCCCGCGTGAGGGGGGCTTCACTACTACAGTTCGGACTCGCGATTTGTGTCGTCGCGGTTCTTAATCTGAACCAAAGAGTCCAAATCTGGCAAATCGTTTTGAGAAGCAGATTTTTGAAAAAGTAGTGCCAAACATGGACTGCTTTGCCAGATACAGAGTCGCCACCTAAATATTTTTAAAATGGGAAAATTTAGGAAACCCTGACTCGGTGCCGAAGGCCACATGTCCGTCATCACCGCCAAAGATTACCCAAAGACTAAAGATTAATTAATGTTTCAATCAAAAGATTAGAGTAAAGATTATCCAAATCAGGCTTAATTAATGTTTCAATCAAAAGATTAGAGCAGAGATCATTATCAGTAAAGACTAAAGATTAGAGTAAAGATTATCCAAAGATTACCCAAAGATAGAAATATAAATACTAAAGAAAAAGCCCAGGTTTGCTCACCTGAACCGTATGAAATCCACTCCTGCATAGCCATTACTTTATCATACTCACTTGTGCATTGTTTCTTGTACTTTCCAAATAGATTAAGCCCAGGACTGATCATCTCTGCAATTGCAGGAGGCATGTACATTGAGTCACCCACTATCGGTGCACCACAAGCAGCCAATTGTGCTCGAATCTGCATCGCATTTCAAAATGAGGCTTTGCAAAGCAAAAAAATTAAAATCTTGAAATTTGCTGTTTGTCTGGCAGTAAAGCCATCTTCTGCATGATGCATTTAGAACTGTAAGCTACTAACTTTTTTCTTTTTCTAGATTTGAAGTGAAGTTCTTCATTTTCTTAATTTGATTCATTAATAAAACTGATAAAAAAAGTTGAGCAAATTGTAACACCTTATAATTCTTCACAGCTACAAACCAGATGTGATAAAAATAATGGTCACTAACACACGCTGCAATTCTAAATATCATAGCTTGTGATTGCTAAAGATGAGGGAAACAACATCAAACAAACCAAAAAAGACGCAAATAAAGTACCTGACGAGTTCGACCTGTCAAAAGGTTTATTTTGCACTCATATGCAAACTCTTTTAAAGGCCACCCACAGTCCTCAACACAATACTTCTCTTCAGTTACAGAGTTCGGCCATGCAACCTTCTTGCAATCCAAGACCTCAAGTTGGCACAAATGCCATCGTTTAGAGAAATCTGCATGCCATAACAATTGATCCAGTACGAAAAAGAGGTAGTTAAAGATGTTTTTCACAAAATAAAGTCTTAGAAAGATGCTTTTCAGCAATTTATTCATCAGCATTCCAATCCCTTACCCCAACAACATCACACTTCTCATCAACCACAATCTCATCCAATCCAGAGCCCAAAAATAACACTCGATCCAACGAATCCGATCTCGAATCAAAACCCTCCTCTCTCTCCTCCTCTTCCTCCACTGCAATCGCCAGCAATAACGGCCTTCGTTTGGAGACTGAAAGCTCTCTGAGATCGGTCTCCGACATCGCTCTGGTCATCTTCTTTCTCGATTTGTTGATCGGAGAAACTGAGACCATCTAGAAAGATCGAGGCTTCGGGATTTGAAGAGAAATGTCCGTCTCTGGCGATGTTGATGACTCTTTCGAAAGCCAATTTTTCTAATAGACTCTTCCTTTAGATTCTCCTTTCGCTGTGGCTCCTTTCGTTCGTTGTTAATGTTGAAGGGGGTTGGGTCTACAGCAAGGGAATGGGCTCTGATAGAGAGAGAGAGACAGAGAGAGAGAGAGAGAGAGAGAGAGGGTTGTGTGTTCAAAATTTGAAAATTGAAACAGAGAGATTTTGAGCAGAGAGGAGCACGTGAGAGAGATTTCCAGCCACATTATCTTGAGTTGAGGTGAGAGACATTTTGAACCATTAGATCTTGATTGTAATTGATCTCAACCCTTGGATTGAGTAAGACATTTTCAGCCCTTGGATTGAAGCAATCTAAAGGTCCAAATTTTGACACATATATATTTTCAGTCCTTGAATTCAAACTAACCCTTCCATTGTTATATAGATTTGAAAGATGATGTTTAATATATGTGTGTGTGTATATATAATGCTTTGTACACGTATTGCAGGCGTCTCTCTCTCTCTCTCGCTCGAGCTCTCTCACGCACAATCTCCCTCTATCTTTGTCTCTGCCTGTCTCTCTTTCGCTCGAGCTCTCTCACGCATAGTCTGTCTGTTTGTCTCTCTCTCTCTCTCTCCTACTTTGTTTCCCCATTTTCTTATATTGTTGCTTAACGGTTTATTCAAAATTTAATGTTTGGGGCTGTAATTTATGATAAATTTCAAAGATGATGTATATTATATGCAGTTTAATGTGTGTATATATATGATGTTGTGTAGATATATGCAGATGTTTAATATATAATGTATGTGGCCCTAATTTAATGTGTGTATATATAATGTTCTGTCTACATATGCAGGTGATTCAATCACTACAATTATTGTCACTCTACAGCAGTTGGATCATTCAACCTACACTATATAAGGTACCAAGTTTGTGTCCTGAATTTTTTTATGAAGTGGGTATTATTGTGTTTTAATAATATTTATTAACACATGAAGGGGAAAAAAATAAAAATAAAAAACCCCTTCAGGCAAAGGTTTTTTGTTTTCCTTATCAAATGGTTTGCACAAAAGCCCGTCATAAGAGCTACTTCTGTTTTGGCTCAATCATCATACGAGCTTTAAACTTCTACTATTGTATAAAATCATAGTGAGCTACAATATAAAGCCCATTATATCCCACCATTGCATCAAGTCCATCTCTTATTGTGCTTCAACAGGGAAGGTGGTACAAGGAGATGAATTTAAAAACCTATTGTCACCCATCACCCTACAAATTTCCCTTATGCCACAACTTTAGAATATTATTATTCGATGAATTTCTAAATCAAAGTGGAAAATTAGCTGGCCTCAAAGCTCATGACTGTCATTTCCTTCTACAATAACTACTTCCAATTAGGATGCGTGGATACCTTTCCAAGGAGATTGGGACCACACTTTTTGAGTTGGAATTTTTTTTTAAATAGTTGTGCTTAAAGACATTAAGGGTGACTAATTTGGAGAAAATGGAGGAACAAATCGTACTTATACTTTGTGAGCTTGAGAAGATTTTTCCTCCTACATTTTTTGATGTCATGGTCCACTTGGCAATTCATTTGCCTCACGAGGCTATGCTGGGTGGGCCTCTGCAATATCGATGGATGCATCCCATTGAGAGGTAATACCGCGAGTTCCCGAACATCCCTATTTACATATAGTAGATAATGTAAACATTAACATTCAAATCATATTGCCATGTAGGATGCTCGAACTTCTGAAAGGAATTGTTCGCAATAAAGCTCAGCCAAAAGGTTCCATTGTGGAGGCTTACATTTCAAAAGAGTGTACGACATTTTGTTCAATGTATTTAAACGACGTTGAAACGGTTTTTAATCGGGAAGAAAGGAATTATGGCAGGGGTGACAATGGCCCGGGGTTGGCGGTTTTCACTCAAAATGTTCGTCCGTTTGGTCTACTAACAAGGGAAACTGATATGTTTGTAGCCGACCGTGAAAGGGCTCATTGGTTTGTCCTACACAACAGATTAGAAGTGGAAGAATATCTAGAGTACGACTCGAACCTGTGACGTACTATATGTGACCTATATGTTTTTTTTTAGTAATCATTCTTCAAATTACTTATGAATTACATTGTCCTACGTAGGGAACACAAGATGTTGTCGCAACAACAACATGGAAGTACATGCGGCATTGCCAAAATACAATGCAAAGAATTTCCTAAATGGTTCAAAGATCGTGTATGCTAAAATTCCTTATAGTGTAGTTTACACATGAAGTTAAGTTATGTCAAAAATAACATGACATTTTTTTTTTTATTTTTTTATGTAGATGAACCAATTGCGGCACAAAAAGTCACCTGAAGCAACCGATGCAATGTGGTCACTGGCAAATGGTCCTAATAGCTTAGTGAACACATATTCGGGACGCATTTGTAATGGTGTCCGATTCCATGGTCGCGATCGTGACAACCGTCGTAAAACTCAAAATAGTGGATTGGTAGTGGAAGGGGACCAAGAAGGCCAATTCCTAAAGTTCTATGGCTACATTTGCAAAGTTTAGGAAATGACATACTTGTTTAGGCACTGTGTTGTTTTATTCTAATGTGAATGGTATAACACTGGTAGTAACAGAACTTTGCGTGTCGAACCACATTTCACTACTATTGATGTAAGAAGTCGATGGTATAAAGATGACTTGTTTGTGTTACCAAGTCAAGTGCAACAAGTTTTCTATGTCCATGATACGAAGTTAGGTGCCAATTGGAGAGTAGTAGAAAAGTTTCAACATCGAAGAATTTGGGATGTGCCCGAGGTGGATGTGCCACAACCTAATGATGTGGTCCAACAAGATGAAAGCACTGATGTTGTACCAACTGAGCCTATGGATGACGATGTGGTTTTACGTCGAGATGATATTGACACTGAAATTATTCCAATGCAAGTTTTGCAGTCTGATAACTGTGTACAACCTAAGGTTGGTATGGATGATGACTTCATTTGGGATGATGAAGATGAACCGACAATAGAGGGTGACAATGAAGAAGAAGGTGAGCTTGATAGTGATTTTGATACAGATATGGACATAGAGTGTTGATGTATGGGTTCTAAATTTGGATATGTGATAGAGTCTTGATGTATGGGTTCTAAATTTGGATGTCTGCTCTCGGTAGTTGTTGTTTTGTCTTCTTGTCCTTTTGTTGATGTAATGGGGAAAATGATGAAGGAGATTGTTGTTCTTTATGTGTTATGTAATTAGATGAGAGTTTAGTCCTTTTGTTTATGTTGTTCTTCATGTCATCATGTTGAGCTATATTGTAAAATTTTTTGCAATGTTGAACCTCTTAAATTGATGAACCTCCTCATTTGACATTTATGCTTAACATTGGTTTATGTACAACACTTTTATTTGACAATCATTATCTATTATTTTTTTATTGTTGTCTTGTTGTAATTTTGTAAATACTTTAGCTTCTGTAAACAATCAAAATTGGCCATAATATCGATAATGCATGTGATGTTTTTACTTAATACATCATGTTTGCAACTATTTTGCAGGTACCGGCATGGTTCCTGGGACGAAGATAGGGTGGCATAAGAAAACAGCAACTGACCCCATAGCGTCACCCTCAGAAACATCTGCACATGTCATTGTCACCCCCACAGACTTTATCCGATGAGACACAACCATCGGATGACACACAAACATTTGTGGAAGAGACACGGGCGCATGGCGTAAGTAAGACCATTGTACTTTTTTGTTGCATCTTCAGGGTTGAGTAACTAAGGACTACAATGTCTATTCTTCTTCTTGGTAGTTTTGTAGGTGTGTTTCGACCCCTAAAGATCAATTTATTGAACTTAAGCAAATGATTTTTTTTTCACCTAGAAAGAAAATTTCTTGCATGTATAAAAAAATTATAATCCCTAAGAAAATTTGCTGATAAAATTTAACATTTAATATTAATTATTGTCGATTATATGTTTGGGACACTATTTACAATTTTAAGGCCTTACACTTGTTTCCCCTTCTTGACTAGGGAAAAGCACGTCAACTCGTGTACGCGGTCCTACACTCGGAAAAAGAGTGCAAAAAAGGATTATAAGCAAAAAATGGGAGAAACTACATGTTTATGTCAATCGCATGTTAAATGCACTCACATGAGGGAATGCCACCCCTACAACAAATGAGTTGGGATTACAGATAAGGGGGTTATGCCCTCTCAAGGGAGTGAAGTCATGAAAGAAAATTGATCAGAGTATCAAAGATGCTGTTGTACAAGATGTGCTAGTAATTTCTGACCTTAAACTAAATATCTTCATTATGTAAAGTTGCAATTGCTGCATTTAATTTGTGTAATACATCACACACTTATGCTTGCAGGACAAGTTTGAAATTGGTGAGGATTTTCATACTGATCAACAAGCTCAAGAGATTGTTGATACAAAGGTGTATCTCTTGTACAAGGATTGGAGGTACACCTTGAAGTAACACTTTGAAAAACTTGTAGAAGAGGGTGTTGGTAACCCATATAGTCATCTGCCTACGAGTTTGCTTGGATGATTGGAAACATATGATTGATGTGGCTTGGATGGATGTATCTCATTTGGTAACAAACAAATATAAACGACTTTATTGCTTTATTTGTGTATTATACATTGATATGTACTAATTCTTGAATAATTCCTTTTTTTTACAAACGCTCTAAAGCTGGTAAAGCAAACAGGAGTTTGCTACCATACAATCACACCAGTGGATCTCGCTCCTTTCCAATAGCAATGTTGCTCATGGTGAGCTAGATGCATTTGGAACATATTTCTCATCACTTATATATGTAACCAAAAGTCATGGTTACTATTGCGATGAATTAATTTTGTTGCTTGAAAGTAATAGGTAGATGAAAATAGGGAGTT